ATCACCGGGACTGCACTCGACTGCGTCTATCGTGCTGTGCTCCCCAAGACCAACTCAAACTCTCTTTATTCATTTTCAAAACTCTAACCAATTACAAAGCAGTAAAAAGACTCTAGGGCGTAACCTTCAATCATAAAGCCAATCACACTAAGTGCTGAATACGTCATATCTTTTGATTAATCGTTCACTACATTAATAACTATGAATATAAACTGTCAGAAATCGTAGTCACAATAGCGACGGTTATCTGGTAATTAGTTCCAAATCACTGAGCCAAGTTCCGTCCAAAACTTCAAATAGGCCTAAACGATGACAGACATAACACAGCAATTCGCTAATAATCCGCTAATTAAGTCGGTCAACAAATACGGGAAAAACAAATTCATGACAAAAGTATGAAAAAACAGAACACATAAATTTCCGCTTTGTAATCATGCTATATATATATCACGGAATACATATATTTTGTTGCCTTCGGGATAGTTTACATCGTGATTGGAAGCTGCCGGGGCTACTCTTAAAAAGCTACTATTGAACATCCAAAAAAAATATGTCATCGCAAATTTGTAAGGATTTTCATTTACAGCAAGTTCACATTAACTACTAAATATAACGGATCGTGATAAATAATGATATGAAATAAATATACATGATAAAAATACGAAAGAATTGGAAACATTTAGAAATGTGTCTAAAATGACAATATCAAGTATATAGATCGGTTAATTGTGTTAATAATACTTTGTTTATGATATGCACCATGATGTGCCATTCATTCTCGATTCAAATAATGAAGGGAAGAATGCTGGGTCTTTGCTTATAAACGTATTTATAACATTTGTAAATACCAATCATCAGCTGTTATTCAAATTCTCAAATATTCAGTAGTGATTGGCTCAAAAGCTGAACATTATCCATGACCATAATGCGTGCGCATGTCTTCACGTGACATAGCAACTGGGACCTCCTACTGGTAGTGTTGAACTAACTCATAAATATTAATAAGAACTAACATGATTTCAAAATACTATTTCTGGATTGGTAGATTTGAATGTTTACATCGATTTATAGCGACCCCAGCTTTGTACCCTTCACTGTAAAATGTTGAAAAGTATCACATGCTTCTAAAATGTATGTTACATACAATTACAAACGTACGTAATTGAATTACCACGCTAACTGACTAGACATCTGTACATCATTTTTTCTGTTTTTTGTTTTTGTCCTGACACACAGTACAAGAATAACGTACATTTTAGTGAAGTTTTTTTTTTCAGAAATTATCTACTCGTAATCCTGATCTCATACAAAAAGTTTTAAAAAAGTTGATTTCAAACTGTTTAGGATTTAGGTTGTATATATATATTAAAGCGGGAGGGTCTTCACCTGCGCACGCGCGGGAATTGAGTCCCAAGAACGATGACAACACACGCTAAAAACGCAAAATCTCATGGGTAAACGCTTGTTTATAAATGACACGCTAAGGCCACCTGACGCATGCGCAGGTAGCGACTCTCCCGCTTTAAATTTTGAAAGCTGATGAAATATTATGATTTATCATTCTTGAACTATTCAGATTTTCTATATCGCTATCCGTAACCGTTTAAAATCAGATACTTTGTCAATGTCACAGTTACTCACAGATAAATTGCAACTAAACACTGTCAACTATCAAACACATTATAATATGCAAAGTGGGCTGCGACAGCGCATTCCCGTTGGTCCATCGGTACCATGATATCAGGACTGGGGTGTGGATGTTCGCTTAAACAATCGGCTCGAATACGTCTTGCCCATTATTGCGCACATCTCCGTCCTAGCCCTGTATTCCTCATAGCGCCATAATTGATGAGAGGAGAAAAGACCACGGCAAGATAAAGTGTGCGACTAAATTCACGCTGTGTGGGATTCATTATTGTTGTTATAAATCCCCCAAGTTAATCAAATTTAATTAAATTTGGGGGAGTTTTGTGTGATATTGTTTTGACGTGATAAAAACCTTTATAACACACAATAATGGTCAAATTAATTGTTAGAATTTATAATATTAGACTTGTAATGAGGCGATTTTACTATTGTTTGTGTATACTGACAACAGCCATAGTTAGATTGACATCACCAATAACACCAATGCAGCGTCGACAGAAAAGTAATTTGATGCCGTCCTGGAACTGTTTGTATTTTAACGCATAGATGAACGGATTGATTGCCGAATTGATGAACCCTAGAACAGTACTGAACTGATAGTACCCCTTATAGAATTCGATCTTCACACCACTCTGATACAGCATGAACATTATTGATCTGATTTGGCCCCCAGCACACTGCATAAACCAAGAAAACCAAGACTAACATCTTCAGGATATTGTTGCGTGCCCTCATTACGCTCTTCTCTTTGTTTGTTAAAGGCCCGTTGTGAACGGTATGCTTTATAGCGAAGATACAACGCGTGTACGCCATTGCCATGACAATAAGAGGCGTGATGTACTGGACAATTACGGTGGCTATTCCAGCAAGTTTTGACACGGCTGGCGATGGAAAATTTGTTATGCAAACTCCATGATCAAAGGACTGTACAATTGGGTTATATATCTTGAATACGAATGCTACGATCCAGACCACGACCACCATTATTTTCACCTTGCCCGGGGAGTATATAAACTGGTAACTTAAGGGATATACAATGGCATAATAGCGCTCCATCGTAATAAGAACCAGATTCAAACTGGATAGCAGGAATAGCGACCAAATAAGATAGTCAGACTTCCAGAGCCGACAAGCCATCTCCCCGAATAGATTGTCAGGCAGCTGCGTTGTCTGTGGTCCGAAAAAACGTACTGTTATCACGATAGAAGCAATTACGTCAATGATAGCTTGATGGACGATGAGGTAATTTGCAAGAGTCCGTAGTTGTGGAACTCGCAACACCACGACGCAGACCAGCGAGTTGCCCAGAAGACCAATAATACCAATTACTCCAATTAGTATATTTACCACTGACATGAGAGATACAGCTTCCATAGTATCCGAGCTCAAGCCCACAGAATTAGATGTGTTCTCCATCACTGTGTCCGCCCGTGTAAAATGAACGTGTATGAAGTATTGTATATATGACAACCTTGCTGTATACATATATTCTATACTCTACCAATCATATTCAGGGAGTCATTTGTTTAGCATCCGGGGCAGTGAATTATTACGTAGCTAGATTTGCAACAACAAAATTTGTACTACCGACCCAAGAACGCATGAACAAGGCGAATGCCTTCTATGTACCCTAAAGGCATTCGAAAGTTGAGTTTCCATTTGTTTCATCACGTGTTACATATTAAACCCCCTCTCACCTTGATTGAATGTCAAAAGTATATACGTATACGTAATTCTTTTTATCATGGCAAAGATAATCCTCCGTGCGTTATTATTCACAGATCTTGGAGGAGACGATGGTCTTATTGATAAACAGAACTTACGAAAGACGGCTGTATTTCAAGCTAGTATATAACACCGAATAAACGGCATGCCAATTTATTTATTTATTTATTTATTTATTTTCTGTGTCGGAAACTACTATGAGTTTACCATTGTGTCTCTGTTCTTATTCAATATTATAATGCTGCACCATCAATATCCCGTACAGCAGGATATGAGGGCCTTTGCCGCAATGTTTGGCTACGTGGTATGGCGTGCGTCGGCTTGAACGGGTTTCACCGCAGGGAGTTGGACAAACTTATGTATTTTAATAAATTATTAAATAATAAAATATTATATAACTTTTCTTTTACCCCCCCCCCCCCTTTCTGGTATCGAATTTTTAAGTAATCACTGATCTTTGTTTATACCACTCTTTCCTTCATCACAACTTTGTTGCTTTACGCGTTAAAGATGAAATATGTTTTGAAATCTCAGAACGGCCCTACCGTGTGTCAACCGACAACGTGGTGACTTCCCGCGAAAGTGATTTGCATATTACTAATATGGTATATATATATATATATAAAGAATGGTTTAAGCCGTGTGCACAAGGTATCTTCAAGTTTATTTTGATGCCTGTTCACTGTAAAACTGATAGCCGTTTGGTACGTCGTAGCATGGATGTACTAGTACATCCATGGTCGTAGCATGGAGCTAAAATAAAATTTAGCTCCATGGTCGTAGCAAGCGTGCGAACACGGTTTCTTTTTTAGTGTCCGTGGTGCGAACAGTTGAATTCGACTGGACAATTTCCGCCTCATTTTCGATCGCGAAAACCCCGAAATATCACCGCCCGCTCGCTCGCAGAAAATTTCCGAGGTTCACAATGTCTTATAATTGTCTTACTGGTTTTTATAAATTTTGAACAGCCGACAAAAGTTCAAATACTTTTCGTTTTAACTACAGTATCTATAATTATATGCACGCAATCTGACCCTTTGACTTCGATTTGGCTTGGATTGAATATTTTATTTTCAACAACATTCTGACGCGAAATACAAAATGTATTTCAACACAAGTACGACATGGTTGTCTGGATTTTCTTTCCCGATTGTTGAGTCGTCGCAATGTGTTTACGGTTTGTATAATTATTGTTATTTTCCCCCAAGGCGAAGACAAGCTGAAGGACCATGAAGCTAAATGGCAGTTCCATGCATGGGCTGAGTGAAAGAAAATATTTCTAAGCCTAAAATAAAACCTAATATTACACCTCTTTGTGTATTTGTTAATTTTACATGTTTGTCATGACAGTATATCTAGAAAAATCTCCTCTTTCGTTGATAATTTCCATTGTTTGTTGTGTCTGTCGACCGTGCCCCAATAATTTGTTCAGAATATCGATCCCCGTTGGTTCCTCCATACTGAGTTTAGTAGTTTATAAATAAATAAACGCTGCTCGGACTGATAAATATGATATATAGAAGATAATATTTGGTAGTGCCTTGAAAGGACGAAAAAATTAACTTCTCTTGATATGACATGAATAAACATGCATAGCTCGGACCAAAACAACTGCCCATAGCCACACCTCGTTTCTGTATATAGACGGGCGTTGGTCCAGACATCCGGCATTTAACACAATCAGCCGAGACAGGACAAACATGTCCCGTAATTTGTGGACTGAAAACCCAATTAATTAAAGAAGTATTATTATTATATATATTATTTCATTTTACATCGCGAAACTCAGTGACAACAGAGCTAGAGTTGTTCGCGGTGAAACAGCCGCCTTGAAGTCGATGCAACTTCAACTAGCCATTTCTTACCTTGAAATAAAAAAATAAAAATTCCAAGAGCATCGAGGAATATATTAATAACCATTTTTAGCAATCGCTAGCTTTATTTTATCCGAATACATGGAATTCACGAGTTTTTCGACATTCGTTGGCAACTTCCGCGCTAAAAATGGTTGAAAATGTGGGTGTGGTTCTCTCCAAAATCATGTTTGATAATACGGACAAATATGGTTCTGTGACCCAGGTCGTGCTCCAATCAGGTGGCTTTCAGCAAATCAATGATGTTGTAACAAAGCATATTTGACGGTAATTGAAGGTTCGTCGTACCGTCCAATCCCCGGCTTCGATTCACATAGCTTGTTTTGTTCTGTGACAGGCTTCAAAATTATTCACTGAAAAACATCGGTATATTTTGACTAACGGAGGGGATTTGACCTCAGTTCAGAAAGAAAAAAACTAAGCTGAGTCCACGGTGAATCAGTTTTCTTTGTTAGTTGTGAAATAAGGTAAACCAGAGTAGGGTCGATGATTTTCAGCCCTGAAGGACTTCCGCGTGAATCCTGATTTCGAATTGTTCATCGTCTGGCCATCAAATATTTATGGCTATAACTAAATTTGACACGTTTTATTTCTGAATTATTCATTTATGTCAAGCTTTGTTCTATTTTTTCCAGAGCATGTGGCCGTTTTAGTCAAAATATTATTTGTGGGAACACTTTACGGTACGTACATTGTATAGATCGAGCTCATTCACTGATCGTGACTTAATTTTGAAAATTGGATGTCAAATTTTACCAGACTGTGGACCGACGTGGTTTTGGTATCGTTGTATTTGGAATTAATCATTAACATATTCTTCGTTTTTCTGCTCTGTCGAAAGAAGTTACGCATGCTTTTTTTACGTAATTGTCTCATTAAAATAAAATATTACATTTAGAACAAGCAGCCAAAACACGTAACCAAAGGTCCCATTTGAGTTGCTTTGACGATACAAGTGTCATGCAACTATTATATTTGAAAAACCACTATTGCAACTACTCAGTGTTTTGGCGAGCAGTCAGTGTTTTCAATGAGCGAGCGAGCCAAAAAAAAAAAAAAAAAGGCGATTACAATGTGGTCGGTTTCCGGGTCGGACAAGACCGCGCGGTCGGAAATCAAGCAATAAGCTGTTGGTGTAAAAGCGGAAGGCTGGGCGAAATGAGTACCGTAATTACATAAACTTTGTAGTATTGATATGCAAATTGGATCATTCATCAAGTGACAATTAGGATTACTTTCATGCAAGTGTTGTGCTTGTGATGGTTGTGTTTATAAACAATCACACGTGACAATGTTTTGAAATAGAAAAAAAAACGTTGAAATACTAGTAAGCCTTATAAAGTGGAGTTTTTGTTTTGAATAAAAGCACAGTCATAGATACTGTCATAACCATCACTAATTTAAAATAAAAAAATATTGAAAAAAAAAACACATTAAACGTATGCTAACCAGAAGATTTCCTGACCATTTACAAATTCAACGATACAACTTCATTATTCATCTATTGATATGCAAATTTGTATATTACTGCCCGAATATGGGCGTTTGTGCCCGAGCGCAGGCGATTATTTGCCCGACGTTAGGAGGGCAAATGATCTTCTTGCGCGAGGGCACTAACGTTCATATTCGGGCTGTAATATTTGTAATACATGCCCTTATTATCATAAAGAATACAGGGTTTATATCTTAATGTTTAAAGGTAATTCTTATTGGTAAAAGGGTACATTTTCCATAAGCAGTAACAAAGTTTTGAATGCAATCGCGTTGATCGATAAGTTTGGCACTGCGAATGGATATGTTTACGCATTCTGTTAACCGGCTCCATTGACAACCTGCAGACGATAATGGCTGCAGCAGACGAAATGGATATTATGCAGTGGTTGCGGTCAGTAGGACAGGGCTAACATACGAAAGCCGAGAGGAGCCCTCCTGCTATGTTATTGATGCAGCATGAAGGTTTGAACTCATTTAATTCAAGTAAAACAACTCTGGTTTACAACGAGTGAAACTGACAGTAATGGCTACCGCCAACTACAAACTGGGTCATAGGTCATAACAGATATAGTACTCTCTGTCAAGAGAGGGCGCACTACTACAGTTACTATACATATGTGATATCATAACATCCCCCTCCTCAAGCTAAATAGTGGTATTCTGCGAAGTGTTTATAGAAAATAAATGTTCAAATACCGATTCAGAGTTCTGGGATGGAAATGTATATAGTCGTGTATCGATACAGATAATAAGTTTTTATTTAGAACAGTTTTGTTTGTTTTCTCAATACATGTAAACATAAATGGAACATCTAAATATTAAATAAACTCAAAACTCTGGAACTCGATAAACACAATAGAAATTGAATAACATAGCTCTCATTTGAGCTTTCCAAATTCGACAGTTTATGTCAATACAAAATCCTTATATTTTGCAGGGGGTTTGCAATGTCTTTTTGGTCTTTCTTTGGCAGGCCAGTTAATTTTTGTTAGGTGTGTTGTTGATTCCTTGTGGTTCCTGGTTTAATTTGCTTGCAGTATGCTTAGTTTGCATATCCATAGTAGGCCTATCATGTGCTGGTTTGATGTGAGATAGATCTCGTTGGTATTGAGTGCTGTCAGGCGTCTGCACTGTGTATTTTCTGTCAGATAATTTGTTAATGACTGTGGCAGGTTGCCATGGTGAACTTGGTGTTTTCTGGAATCTACATGGAGAATTTTTTTTGAGTGGTGTAATGTCCGTTTGACTTCCATAAGATTTTGCTCTCTGTTCAATCTTCTCCTTATAACTATTTTGACTGATCACGTCCATACTGTAGAAATG